GCAAATTGATTCCAGCATCACCGAATGCAACGATTTTTTTTTTTAAAAAAGCGTGCCTTTTAACTGTCGGTGGCCTTGCGTTGCGAGTTGGGAGAAGGAAACATAAGGAAAGGACCAAAACGGAGCCCGTGGCCACTGGGAGACACCAACAGATGAGCTCTCACGTCCGGTGAGGCCACTGGTTCAGCTGAGCCTCAGCGTCCCTACCACTCTCACATCCTCCCACAGCCACAGCCCACAGTGAACAAACTGGATCCAGCAGCGATCCGACCGCCGTAAACATCGCTCTGCGCGCGCGCAACAGCGCCGTGTGCTTGTTAGCCGGACGACGACACACCGGAGCACGGGACGGCTGCTCGCACCTGTTGCACGTCGGCAGGGCTGAATAACAGCATGTTCGTTCGGTCGTATTTGACTTATAAATCATGATTTATAAATAGTATTTTTTTCTCACACCGTATCACGGCAGGCGAGCCATTCGGCCTGCTGCTACGCAGCAAGCGTACGTAGGACGAGTCGGCGGTCCAGAAACAGAAAGTGGATGCGATCGTCAGCGGCGTACGTGGCTCCTTTCATTCGGCCGTGACTGACACCTCGACGACGGCACGGCACGGATGCGCTCCAGCGCAGGGCCAGGCTGGCTAGCTAGAAAGGCCCACGAGCTGGACTCGACCAGCGTCGCCGTGCGGCAGCAGACACGTACTGCTACGCACGAGGAGGGGGCCGGGTGGTCCGGATCGTACGCTACGGCAACGAGCGGTGGCTGCGCCAACGGCTTTTGCCATGCCGGCTCGAGTGCTCGACGACTTGGCTGCGGCGACGTACTGGTACGTACCAGGCGTGGGCCGGCGGAGTAGGTAGGCTGTAGGCATCGGGGCTGGGGTCTGGGGACGGGGTTCTGGCTAGCAAAAGCCGTGCCGTACTTCCCCGGCCGGGCCGTCGGCGTCTCTCGGATGGTGACGGCCCAACCGTACGAAAAACACAAGTTCGTGGTGACTGGAGAGCAGAGCAGGACGCCAGGACAGGTCCGTGAGACAGTGCGAGGATAAACATGGTGAGAGGGCATACGTGACATGATGCCCCGGCCCCTTCCCCTTCCCCGTCCCTACTGGCGCGAAACTCATTCGGATAACGCGCACGTACGTTTCTCTACTATTCATCGCATGCGCCAACTTGGATCTTGATTGGTTGGTTAAGCAGCAAATGACACGTCATTTTCAGCTATTGCATTGGTATTATACACACGATCATGTTCTGCACAGGTACAGGCTTTGGGTCGTATGGTACTCCTACTTCACTGCCCAAGTGCAGTGCAGCTGAGTGCCCTGTGCTGCCTCTGCCTGCAGGCAGTTATCGTTCCCATTCGCGGGAAAACTCAAGGTACGCATTGTTGGGCGGAGCCACGGAGGCGTGGAGTGGAGCATGCAGCTTTTTTTTTTCTCCTGCTAAAGTTTAGTCCCTATCACGTTGGATGTTTGACATATGTACGGAGTATTAAATATAGACTAAAAATTAGCTAATTGCACATATTGCGACTATTTTATGAGACGAATTTTTAAGCCTAATTAGTCCATATTTTGACAATGTGGTGCTACAGTAAACATGTGCTAACGATGGATTAATTATGTTTAATAAATTCGTCTCGCGGGTTACTGAGGACTTGTGTAATTTGTTTTATTATTAATATCTGAACACTTCCATATGACAATGTGATGCTACAGTAAACATGTGCTAAGGACGGATTAATTATGTTTAATAAATTCGTCTCGCGGGTTACTGAGGACTTGTGTAATTTATTTTATTATTAATATCTGAACACTTCCATATAACATGACACCCGATATAATACTCTAAACTTTACCCTTATCTAAACACCACCGCCGGCAGTGGCAGACGTTGGACAGAGCACAGTAACGCATGGATAGGATGGATGCCTTGAGGACATGGCACCTGCATGCGCCTCTCTTCCTACGGAGTACTTGTCAACTCGTGGCCTCAGCCACAGAACTGAGCTGCTCTGATTCTCTGAAGGAAGACAATGGTGACGCAAAGGACAGTAGTAGGCGGGGCTGGATAGTGCATTAGTGCATACAATCTCTACAGAACTATGAGTAGTATACGTTGGGGGTATGTTATGCCGATCGATCGCACTTCCCATATAAAAAAACACGCGTACGATCAGCCTTTGACACCGCAGCACTGATCCCATGCGCAGCCAACCGCGAACAGACGAACCGTTACCGGATGTTAGCGCCTTTAATCATGGGCGCATTCAGCTTTGCATCTGCCGACATGCTTATAGCATTAAAAATAAGCACACGAGTCCATCTAATCTAAGCGACATTCCAGGCAAGGACAAGGCAGGATTCAGCTGCAGTGTAGTAGCTGCTTCTCCTTTCGTTCAGAACGTTCCTCTCTCGCGTTCACAGTTCAGACAGAGCCACAACGCTGTCAGTGGTCACAAGTCATCGCTGTGGGAGACAGCGAGTTGGGAATCCGAGAGGAAGACCAAAGGGTTGGTGTTGGTCTATCACTGGTATCTAGCCATCTAGCACGGCACACTAGCAGCATGCATAATCTGACGGTACGGCCGTACAGGACAAGGCAGAGTACACCAGTCGCCAGACCTGACTTGAGTCTGAGCGCTTCTCTAACTACCGGCTGTTGCACCTTCAATCGAGAATGGAGCGGGAGCAGCTCTTTCTTTGGCCCTGCCTGTTGGAACTGTGGAGTCTGCAAAACTGGATTGGATTCCATATCTGATCGGCGGACGCATCAAATGGGCCTAAGGCACGTTGTGTTTTGCACGGCCCACTTCGTAGACCTTGTCTGATTGAGTTTCGGGCCTTCCGATTCTGGGCTTTTGTCCCAGTTTTCCAGTATGAAATTGGAAGCCCGAATCATGGACGGTGATCTCACTCTGGTAGTCTGCCAAGTGCCAACTAAACTTGAAGTTACCGTACACATTCGCTGTTTGGTATGCCTAGCGCCCGCATGTCCGGTGACATGACGCGTTCGCACGCGCCTCAGAAAATGGCACCCGTATATAGAAACAATGCCAGCACGCGTCTCCATCCTCCACACCTCCATCCCGCCACCGCGCTGCCATCTTATCAGACGTGCTCCCTTTGCAAGCCCCCCGCCACACCCCATCTCAGGCGCGCTCCCTCTGCAAGCCCGTTTTTCGTTGCATGCGGGGCCCGCGCTGCCCGAGCGACAAGAGGGAAAGGGCGGGCGATGCCTCCGATTCGGAAAGACCCGGTCGCGGCGTCGTATGGATGGCTTGTCGGCTTCGGGAGAGACGATGCAACACAAGGTGGGGAGGAGAGATGCAACACCCGATCTACTTTTGAAACATCCAAATACAACAGTTGCAACATATGTCTAAAGGCAGTTGAAACACTTTGACACATGCTTCTGAAACACTTGGAAAAAAAACACCTGAAACACATTTGAAAACCATTGCAACCATACGCAATATCCAAATAAAACACATGCAATGTATTTGTAAAACATATGCAACGTCCAGATAAACACACTTGCAACATGCGTCCAGAAACAGATAGATGAAACATACCTCTGAAACATCTGAAACACTCGAAACATACGCTTGCAACATGCCTCTGAAATAAATGCAACATGTGCAACATCCCCCGATCTACTTTTGCAACATCCATATGAAATAAATGTAACATACATCTGAAACGCTTAAACACTTGAAACATACATATACAACATAGGAGAGGGAAAAGCTGGACCGGTCGATTTTGGCCGCCGGGGGTGGGGAGGGCGCCGCGCCGAGGTGGGGCAGAGCCGCCCACTCCCCTGCAACACCGCCGCGCCACCTCCATGGATCTCACTCGTGCTCCTTGAATCCGCCGGGGTGGGGGAGAGAGCCACCGGATCCGCTGGCGTTGGGCCCTCCATTGGGAGACGACGTCGGGGTGGGGGAAGGGGCCGTCGGGGTGGGGAGGACGACGCCAGGTTGGGGGAGCGCGCCGGGGTAGCGAGCGGGCAGCGAGCGCGGAAGGGGAGGAGGAAGTGAGGGATTGGGTGCGGGAGTGAGCCAGTGAGACGAGTTGGATACCAGACGTTTCGAGAGGCCGCGAGCCCGTTGATGTTGGGCCGATCGCTGCGCAGCCCAGAACGGCACGTCCGGCACGGACACACCCGGACGGACGCCCTCACAAATGCATTATCGCTACAAGTTCGTTGTTTCCAGAGACGAGATAGGCTGCCGGCTTTCCCTGATCCGGGGGTTCCGATTCCGACGAAGGAAAACGAAACGAGGCCCGGCCTCGAGGAAAGGCGCCGCGCATCCAGCTGCAAGCACATGCGCCGTGGTCGGGGACCGGGAGGGCGGGGGAGCAGCTAGGCATTTTCAGTTTCACCACGCAAAGCGATTCGAGCCCGGCCTGACTTGGACGCCACGTCCAAGCTAGGCACCCGATGCGGTGCCATCCCCGTGCAATTCCGGCCTCCCGGTCACGTTTCACGATCATCATCACAGGTATAAAGCCCAAAATACTAGGCTTCCCCGTTCCATCCCCTACTGAATCTCCTTCCTCGCCTATCGATCCTTTCCTCCTCCAGGAATCGCGCTAGCTAGCGTTCGCGTTCTGATCAAGTTTATTTGGTGCGTGAGCGTGAGTACGACCGGAATCGGAACCGGAACAGGAGGATGGGTAAAATATGGATGCTCATCACCCACCTCCACGCTCTTGCAGGGTAAATGCTCGCTGCTGATCCTCTCTCCTTCCGTTCCGTTGCTCGCATTTGCAAACCATCTTTAGTCCGCGATTAATGGCCTCGCTAGGGCTGATGTTCTTCTATTTTCTCTTGTGTGCAGGCCGAGTGTCACTCTGATATACCCTCTGTAAGTGAACAAATAAAGATTAGCAATGGTGCTAGCTGGTTCATCATATTCTTTTTTACCAATGGCGTAACTAATAAACGTGTGCAAGATGGTAACGTGGATCAGGTACGCGTCAATCTGCGCGATGGAGAGCACGACCAAGGTGGACGACGAGCAGTGGCTGGCCTACTGGATAATCTACTCCTTCATCACCCTCTTCGAAATGGCGGCCGAGAATGTCCTCTACTGGTAATAAATTGTCGCTTCTCTATGTCCTGCATAATGCAGTTTTTGGCTGAAATGCATGTCGACGCTGTAATAAATATACTTACATTCTTGGATCAAGACTGCAAATTGTACAATATGTACACCATCCTAATAATCATAATCAAAGATTCAAAGACAGAGAGTAAAGAAGGCCATTTCTTCTCCTTCCTTCTCGCAGGATACCTCTGTGGTACGAGGCGAAACTGTTGTTGGTGGCGTGGCTGGTCCTGCCGCAGTTCAGGGGCGCGTCCTTCATCTACGACAAGTTCGTCAGGGAGCAGCTGAGAAAGAACGGGGTGAGGCTGCAAGATAACCACGGCCACGGCCATGGCCACGCCGCCGACCACGTGCCGCACATCTTCCAGGTATGTTTGTGTCCGCACGCACCACGGCCCTCTTTGTGGATTGCATACGCGAACGCCGGCTAAGCTTTTCTCTCTCGCGGCGCTTGTTTGCCGAATGCGCAGGCTGAGCATCATGCCGTGCACTGAGAGCCCGGAGAATCTACGTTGTTCATCTGAGAAGAAACCTGACCGGCCAGAGTCATTCCGTGTCTTGGTACAGCAGAGCCAACGGGTCGTGTATCATCTGAACTGCGCAGGACGGCCGCGCGACCATGTCTCGATCGTAAGCTACTTGTGTTGTACTCACCTGCGCTCGTCCCTACAGTCTGTGCTCGTCCTAATTCAGATGGACCTGATTGTTCAGCTGGAGGAATTTCTTTGTGACGAATAAATTTGAACAAAGATTGTATAACTGTATTGCTGAACATTCCGAATATTGGAGTATTTGTGTATTGAGCCTCGTGAGAGGTATATGTAGTATATGGTGGTTTCAATCCCAAGTGATACTAAAGAAATAGAGATGGAAACAAGCGATTACAATCAACCAATCCTTCTAATCATGTCCTACCTTATATAATTGCTGGATCCTATTGGATCTCTACAATATAATATACCCTAAGATCCATCTAATACTCGTAGTGTGAGCAACATGGATTCTAAAACTAGAGTGGAAGAAAACAAATTTGACAAGTGGATGAAAGCCCTATTTTTGTTGAGGTCGCTGAGACCAACGCATTGTGATCGTAGCTGTAGCTATGGAGGTGAGCACAGGTCCAAAGTATCAACACAAGCACACACATGCACATGATCTGTTTGATCCTGGAGAGGACGATAACAACAGTGGCAATGGTGGCTTGGCGGTCTAGTGAATCATGCTGATTGAAGTGATGACTAGCCAATGTGTTGCAACGAGTACTAGAAGCATGGGTGAGCCACCACTGAACACATCTAGGTCCCAAAATTCAGCTTTGAGGGGTTTTGTGATTGATGAGCACTTGAGGGAGTTCAAGTGGAGAGAATTTGGTATGCACAGGAGGCTTACTCTCATTAAGAGTGAGGCAAAAATGGCCCTGTTGGATAGGTTTTAAGTCAATGATCTGAAAGAAGTTGAATTGTTCGAGACCGAACTTAAAACATGCTAAAAACACAAGGAGTGTGCATCAGACAATTGGGGTGATACCCGATGGATTGTCCAGAGGACGATAACAACGGTAGATTATTCACCTCTAAATCCAAAACCATATGCGTTCCATGGAGTTCTATTATTTGCATATTCTAAAGATATTGTTTGCTCGCGCAGTCGTGCAGACACACGACCTAATGCACTAGCTTTGATTATTAGAGCTCACTACATTAACCTCCAAATCCAAAATCAAACGCGCATGGAGTTCATTGTTTCCATTTTCAAAAAATATTGTTTTGCACGTGCAGTCGTCCAGACACTCGAGCTAATGCCCTAATTTGATGATTAAAGAGTTCACCAGATTAATCGTTATGCTTTGTTTTCTTTAAGAACCATTTCATAATAATGTGTCTCATGAGAATATTAACGTAGAGACTCTAGTAGTAGCACGTAATAGTTGATCCCTTGATGCGTAATGAAACGTGACTCTGCGAATTTGTGATTAATGATAGTAAGATCATTATAACATGACTTCACTTAAACAGTCACAGTAGTGTAAGTTTAAATCTATCTTGATTTTTTTTATTGGTGAACCCATTTGGCATGGGTTCATAATTTCTAAAGGAAAACACACACATGCAGTGCTATATTGATATATACTTAGTCACTCGTAATATAGTTTTGTAATAGCAAACATACTACAGAACAGAGTACGCGACACATACAACTAGCTAGCAGGCTAACTAGCAAGCGAAGAAGAGCAGAGAGGGACCAAAGACACAGGCATAAACAGGACAGCAGAACAGAACGCCGCAAATACATCTCGAACCAGAGCAAGGCGCAGGGCCCAACTTTTACGCGATGGCTATGCGGTTGGAGCTGTCCGTCTCCATGGACTTGAAGGCCTCAAACCGTGGCTCCTTGGCGTCGAACTTGTGCCGCACGTACAGCTTCATGTAGTCCTCGAACACGAACCTGGGGTACGCCCCCGCGGCCGCGTCCTCGGCCTTCACCAGCGCCGGCGCGGGGAAGATGACCGCGTCGCTGCGCGGGTTATAGAAGGACGCGATGGACATCCTGTTGCCGTCGGGCTGCGCCACCACCCGGTGCATCACGCTCTTGTAGCTGCCGTTGGTGATCACGGATCACCTCCAGCTGGTCGCCCAGATTGACGACGATGGAGTGGCGCAGGGGCGGCACGTCCACCCACTCGCCGTCCTTGAGCAGCTGGAGCCCGCCCACGCGGTCGTCCTGGAACAGCAGGATGATGCCGCCGGCGTCGGTGTGCGCGCGCAGGCCGCTCACGAGGTCCGGGCGCGGGCACGGCGGGTAGCTGCTCACCTTGGTGCCGAATGTCGGGGCGCCCGTGCTGGCCCCGCGGAACGCCCGCGCGAGGTAGCCCCTGTCCAGGCCCAGGTTCTCGCACAGCAGGTCCAGCAGCCGCTCCGCCAGCGCCTCCAGCACACCGGCGAACCGCCTCATCGCGCGCCGGTACTCGTCGTCGAGGTCCGGTATCTCGGCGATGTTGGACTCCGGGAGGTGGCGGACGAAGAAGGTGCTCTCCCAGTCCAGGTTCTCCGCCGCCTTGACGCCCTGCGCGTCCTTGAGCGTCTTGCTGGCGAAGTCGAGGAACCTCTGCTCGCGCACCCGCTTTTAGTGGTCCTTGGTCAGCTTTTCCACCTCGTCCATCAGCTCCGTCGAGATGCCGTGGTTTAGAATCTGGACAGCAAGAGGGAATTGCAAAATTAAACAAAACGGATACAGCATTAAAACACATCATCAGCGACAAATATATATTTGTGCAGCTTAATTATTTGTTCTAGTTCCTGGAGTTGGATTAGTCCTCCTCCTTCCATGCTGAACGTCTACCTCGAAGAAGCCCCAGTTCTCGCACGCATCGCGCAGCAGCTCCATCGCCGCCGGCCTCTCCTCCCCGGCGAGCAGCCCCATGTCGATGATCGGGAATGACAATGCAGGCGCTATGTCTACTCTCTCTGTTTCTCTCGACGAGCTCGCGGGACAACTAGACTGGCTAGATTGGAGCTCTCTCCGGCTACTGTTTCCTCCTTGTGCGTGTCTAATGCTGAACGCTGGAGTGCAGTGAGTGGAAGTGCCTGGGGTCGGTCGCCATTTATAGGCTCGGCATCCAAGTTCAAGCTTTCTAGCGGCGTGGACGACCTTACTGCCGACTTGTCAGCAGCAGAGTTGTTGGTTTTTTGGTCGTTGCTCTTGCTGACAGACAGGGCATTGACCTGTGGAGCACCCACGCGGACCACGCCCATGTGGGCGGCGCGTGTTGGCCCGTCTCATCCCGGGCCCTCAGCAAGTCAGCATGCACGCATGGGATTCTCTTGCCGCCGCGCCACCATCCCGCTCGCGGCTCCGCGCACGGCAAAATACGGAAGCCGCGTCGAGCACTCCAGCTTGGCTGGCCTGGCCATAGCGCGCGAGCGGCGGGGCAGCGCAGCCGTCGACGGTGGTGGATGGGGGCGAGATACGCTGCCGTGGTCGAGCACTCAAGTTGGGGATGGCAGGCCATATGACGCAGTATGGCAAATGTCAATTTGTCTCCGTGGCGAAGATTGAGCGGCCCCTGTCAGCCCAGCTTAGCCGTCTCGATCGCGGGACCGCCGTGCCGCCACTGCCCAACCGGCCGTCTGAGCGTCTGCACAGGAACGAAGAACCTCATTCTCTTGGTTGGACGCCGATGGTATCCGGTTTAGGCCCGTTCGGTTGCTCGGGAACGGCTCCTAAAATTATTTCAGGTTATTAATATTATATAAATTAGTAAATCATCTCAACTGAGAATTATTCTAGGGGCCCAGAAACCAAGATAAAACCTTTGTGTTTTGAGTGCTTATGCCACCGGAGGTACACACATTGATTCACGTCGAACAACCCGATTACTGCCACGGTTACAAACCCCCCAACACCATAAAAGGGGAAAACTATGGATACTTGTGAAAAACATATAGATTGGTAATTAATAAGTTCAACAAAACTAGATAGAGATTACAAAGTATCTATACACCTATTGTATTAGAAAATGAGCAAAGAGAAAAAACGTGTAAATTAATGCATGTAACTATGTAAGTAAACTAAGTTGTAGATACTAAACATTAGCATCTAATGCTTCCACTCTAACTTTTGTGCTAAATGCTAGCACATTCGCAACAAGCTTTTTGTTTGTCATATATAAACTAAATTAGGCTTGCAAAACATACCAATAAACATGCCCTTACTCTCCCCGCATACGTCGCTTGTCAACATTCTGGGCCTCCCACAAAGGGAGAAGCTAAACTATATGATCTTGGGACCTTGTAGTGGTAAAACTAAAGTTGGAATTGGCCGACATTTTACTTATGTCACACTTCCGATAGTTCTTGTCACTTTGTTAGGGTTAACGGTGGACAGATTAACACAAGAGTTTGTGTTTTAGCTTACTTATTGAACCTTTTTATTAGGTTTCTATCGACATCCAATACCCGTTTTTTATGGTAGTGGAAAAGGCTAGCAAAAAAGTTGACAAACAAAAAGGAGAGAAGACCAAATTTATATGGTAAGGCGTGATGGAATGGTGCATTAAGGTGACAAAGATAGCGAAACGTTGTGGAAATGTCGGCAACTTGCAACATTGATTTTGTTCTAATTTGAACATCCAGCTCGTTGTCTTACTCGCGACGATTGAAGTGGACACGCCTTTTTTTTTATGCAGAAGTGGACATGTCTTTTACAATGTTTTTTTTGAAAGAACCGGAGGGACACTTGGCCCCTACTTAATAGATTAAGTAAAGCAAAGAGTTACAGGACTACAGGTAATGAATAAAAACCGAGAAAAGAAACCACAGCACCTACAGCTGTGTCTTTTACAATGTGAAGAGATGAATATTGGGTAACTACATTTAGCAAGCAAAAGCATGCATATTGCTCCATAATGTTTGTCGATCTCTCTTTCAGATTCCGTATGTTTTTTAACATTAACTAATTTATGTTGCATTTTACCTTTCAAGCACGGAGTGTTACTGTCATAATTTCCTGTAACGGGAGGCCACGTCAGCTCAAAAGGGCAGTAGTTGAGCTGGTTAGCTTAAAACCATCGTAACTATTCTTTAATCGTTGAAGAACAATTTAACTTCGATATATTAGGCCAGTCTAAGTGGAAGGCCATCTTAGAAATTTTATGAGAGATTATGGGTAAAAAAAATGACACATATATCTCTGTATTAACTGTAAACAGATTATTGTGCTTACTAGTTACTACATATGAATCTAGTGGTAGACACTAATAGCAGTTACCTATGTGATTGGTACTTTGGGGGAAGTTAATTGAATAGAATATCTTATAATTTAGGCCAAATTTTAAATGCTTTAATATCTTACATTTCGGACGATTATCATCAAACTAACTGTTCATGTCATTTCGTGCCCTCGATATCAAGGAAACCCAGTCAGGCAACACTAAAATTTGGAGAGAGAGGGCGGCCGGGGGGTGGGGGGGCAAATTCAGCAATGAAATCGTGACCCGGTGTTCCAGCGCATCAGCAGTTCAGCACCGAACAGAGACTGTCGGTGCGAAAAGTGACTAACAAGTAAATATTTGTAGTTTTACCGTGCGTTGTGATCGGATGTGGCCTACCACTCAATGACACAGGGTTTATACTGGTTCAAGCAACGTGCCCTACGTCTAGTTCCAGTCGATCGATGACTTTATTCCTGAGCCTAGGTGCTCGAAGTTTGCTGTGGGGTTACAAACGAGTGGGAATAGAAAATGAGAGTGTTAAAGGTCCAGTCGAGCTTCTAACCGAAGGGCCAAGAGTGACGGGAGCTCCAACGTGTGCTAAGTTTTGAAACGTATGCTCTGTGTAGCTTTAGAGTTCTAGAGTTGTGGAGCTGTTCGAATGCTCAGAATGTCTAAGCTAACCAGAGAGAGTCGGAAAATGACCGTCCTCCGTTGGGAAGGAGCGCATCCCCTTTTATAGGTGAAGGGGATGGCCTTAAGAGAGAGAGAGAGAGAGAGAGTTTGCACGTGTGCTACTAAGTCTTGTTGCCCACTTACTGCCGGGATACAAGATGGTCTTGGCGCCCACAACATCATTTATATGTCGACGCATGTGACAGTTTTTACTGTGTTCGCTGGTATGGCAAAAATGACGGTGCCACGACGACATCGTAAGGCAAATATCGGCGCCCACAACACTGTTTGGGTTCTGACATGCCTAAAAGGTTGCAAAGTACCCTTTTGGTATGGCCTGGCGGTACTGTCCTGCAGGTGTACATGGTACGGTCCTTGGTATTGCGGTTGACTTGAACGCCTTGTCTTATCTGCTCGCCTGATTCTTGGATCCTCACCGAGCGGGCGTCCCTGGTCGGTTGTTCTCGATCGGCTCCGACCGCGCGCGTTCGGAGAAGAGAGCGCAAGCGAGAGGTTTGGCGATTTCGGTTAGGAAAGCGGGTCAGAGTCGGAAGCAAGTGTTGTCCCCTCCTTGGTCAGGCCTTTCGGTCAGAGACTTGATCGCTCTTCTGGCCTGTCGTTGGGTATCCAGGCCGGCCCAGGAGTTACGCGTTGTTGTAATGCCATCTGCTGGGCCGAGCTTTTGCTGAGAAGCGAACCCATTGGGGGCCCTAGGTTTATGAACCAGATAGGAGCCCCGAGCCCTTTTGGGACTTCGCGAAGTCGTGAAGGGCTGTTTATACTCGTTGTACGAGAGCAACGGATGTGTAAGATCGTGAGTCATCGTTAGGTATGACGGAGCGCGGACCTGTAAGCGTCGGGCGCGCGCCGAGGGGTCGGGTGCGACGGAGCACGGACACAGGCATTGCACCGATGAACCAACATGCTGATCAGCGGTCGTACAGAGAGTAGGCAGCATAGCGACCACGCGCATCCGTCACTGTGGGTCGATGTGAGTCCCCTAGAATGACATGTCGTGGAGATGGGTCATGTTGAGACGCGACCGCTCCCTGCACGATGCCAGAAGTTTGACCTGGGGTTGTACTTTTTGGCTCATAGTGGTTGGCGGCGGCGTGAGCTTCTGTTAGGAACCGTGTCCGAGGGATCGGGCGAAGCGGGGTCAGCCCTCAGAAGTCGGGCGAGGCGGAGCCAGCCCTCAAACGTCGGTTGAGGCTGAGCCTACCCTTGGGGGTCAGCCAAAGCGGAGCCGATCCTCGGGGTCGACAGTGAGCCAACCTTCGGGAGTCAGCCGAGGCGGGGCCAACCCTCGGGGGTCGGACAAGGAGGAGCCTAGCAAGGGGTGTGGCCTTGGTGTTCCTAGAAATCGCCTGGGGGATTTTTTGACTTGTCAGCAGGTGAGCACGAGCGCACCCGGTGGGTGTAGCCCCCGGGCGATTCGGGTAGAATCGCCTGGGGGATTTTTCAACTTGCCAATGCTCTGAGCCATCGTTTCCGGGAGCGTGGACCCAGGCGTCGGGTGCCAACCCAAACATCGGGCGCGATCGGGGGGTCGAGCGCGACGCAGCGCGGATCCAAGTGCCGATCGTGGTCGAGGGGTTGGTCTAGTTTTGTGCATTACCCCATCCGCAGTTCCGTTACCGGAGGGGCTGAGCTAACGTCGCTTGCCTTGTTGGCTCGAGTGACGCGCTCGGTGAGCTCTCTAACGGGTGTGTCCGAGTGGAATCTGGGTCCGTCGTTTGTAACGGGGTCGGCATAGCCCTCATATGGCATTCCATCGCTCCTTAGCTTTGTCACACCCGCAGATGTCTCGAGCTGCTCGAGACCGACTCGTGGCCCGTTGGCCTCCCTCGATGGAGATTCTGTGGGCATGGCTCGAGGTTAGGATCGAACGAGAAGGTCGAGATGACCATGTCTCCGCTTCGAGCAGATTGGGCGAGGAAGGGCTGGGGCTCATCCACGTTTTCTCCCTTGTCTCTGTTTGACGTGAGGCGGCCTCGAGCCCTTCGTGGGCCGGCCTTGAATCCGGTCGGTCGTCGCT